TGAGGACAGTTTTGTATATAAGAACTCTCGGCAGTGCAATGTTGCTACAGATAGATTCATGAATGTATAAGTTATCACAGCTCTTTCCAAGAAAGTATACTTATACAAGCAAAGTACCCGTCCAGTGTGAAAGGAAAAGTTTAAGTCAATTTATCAGTTTAAAATCTTTCATGAACTTTAAAAACGATAATTGTGTTGCAATCTTGGTTTCACCCAAAGCTAATTATATCGCCCAATTCGAAAAGTAATTGTTGAATATTTCAGCCATGTTAAGAGTCGCTCAACAACAACATACCGTAAATCTACATTTATTTAAATTACGTCACATGTTGAAATGTGAATGATAGTGTGATTAATTCCTAACAATTTAGTGTGGAATATTCTATAATAAAATTTGGCATCAACAGTATTCATGCCTGTTCTTCCGTCATTTCAAAAGTGAATGTTGAGCTTTGCCTGCGTGCACAGCTTTTCAAACGCAGCGCGAGAAACGGAAGACAGACAAACGTACTGACAGATACCACGGTTCGCAATATATATAAGATAGCGAACCAGCTAACATCAGTTTTAAAACAGCTATGACACAGTGAGTAGCATGGACAGGGAAGGATCAGTATAATCCTGTGAGGATTCAAGGGCACATACTTGTTTTTTACTTGTCAGTTCTAAAAGTCTTATTTTTATGGGGAATGTTTCAAAATCCTTAACATTCTTTTGTTTTCGCCATGAAGTATAATACGAAACCCAACGATCGCTGATAGGTTTCTCAGAACAGTGTATATGTTTAGTGACTGCTGTTGGAGTGAGACCTTGATGCATGTTCCATGCATGGTTCTTTATTTGAGTCCCCTGGTACTACTACCTGTGTACCTTGGCCATGGGTATAGTATTGATGCACCATTAGCGAAACATCTAGAAAACCTTGGAAGATTTTCTCAACTCTGTTATTGACTGCTGTTTGAGTGGAACAACGTTGTCATATACAAAATTCCGTTAATTTCCTCTTCCCGATAACCATTAACTACGGTCTATGATGGAAGATAGAACAGCTCAGGCCACAACGCCCATAAGGTGTTATTATTGTATTTTGCGTTTTAGATAATGCTTCATAAAATAAAGATCAAATGCTATAACTTATTAGATGAAGATTAGAGAATATCATAACATTATCTTACATGATACATTAAGTGGCTCATCAGTGCTAGAACTTCGCGCCCTTTTGGGTTATATAGTAAAGATTTCTCTGGTCGTGCTGCTCATGAAAATACTTCCTCCACACTAAATCGTGGTCACTTTGATGACCATGATTAGCACACCACAATTTCTATTATAAATAACCTTATTCGAATGAAGGACTACGAGGTCAGTCTTAAACTATATACCTCAATACACATTTAACACTTTTCCATTACACGTAGACTTCAGCTTTAAAAATTACTTTTAAACAAATCAAATGCACAACTGTTCTTGGACATGCAGTCGAATGACTTTACAGACATGTTGGAGGAGAAGATAATATGAACACAGGTTTCATTTTTTGGTTACTTTACAGTTTGCGAACTTTAAGTTTCTCATTATGTGATAAACCTAAGCAACCATAAATCTCACTAATAACTTTTCTATAAGTTGTTGGAAAGTCTTCATGACGTCATGATTGGTAACAAATCTCCCGTTTCTTGTAGCGGTGTACAAGTACACTCAGGCCTCGCTAATGTTGCGACAAACTTTTATTTATTTGTCAAGTATACCCGGGTCTAGTTAATGTTCCAACACACTATTATTGTTTCTCAAGTTTTCAAGTACATCCAGACCTCACCGATGTTCCGACACAGTTTTATTATCTCTGAAGTTTCAGGTACACACAGGCCTCGCCAATGTTGCAACAAACCTTTATTATCTCCCAAGTTTTCAAGTACACCCAGGCCTCGCCAATGTTGGAGAACACTTTTATTATTTCTCAATTTTTCAAGTACTCCCAGGCCTCGCCGATGGTCAACACACTATTATTATCTCTCAAGCTTTCAGGTACACTCAGGACTCACCGATGTTGCAACACGCTTTTATTATCTCTAAAGTTGTAAAGTACACCCAGGCGTCGCCAATGTTGCAACACACTTTTATTATCTCTCATATTGTCAAGTACATTCAGGACTTGCCGATGTTGCAACAAATTTTTATTATTTCTAAAGTTTTCAGGTACACACAGGCCTCGCCAATGTTGCAAGAAATGCTTATTATCGTTAAAATTTTTTGTTTTTTTTATGCATAGTTTTATTTAGTTGGTTGTTGGCTTGAAAAGTGACTCGAGTTCAAACTTTATGTTTCGTTACAAGGGGGACAAGACCTTTGTGAACTATTTTGAAATGGGTATGTAAAACTGTGTGGAGGGGGTTCCGGTCCTGCGTTTGGTGGATCTAATTTTTTTCTTCGAATATAATAAGGTTCAACTTGTTACAATAATTCTCTAGAACATAATGAGAACCAATCAATGGTTATTGAATGGGAAGAGGTATTTCATGTATATGAACTATAGTAATCAGAACATGACAACTCATCACTGCTTACAGGAAATTCCGTTTATATGCGTTAAATAGTTTAGGATAATGAGGTTAAACAAACAAAACACGTGAACTGAATCAAATATAAACCAACATACTACAAAGCACTGTTAAACATGTGAACTGAGTCAAACATAAACCAACATACTACAAAGCACTGTTAAACATGTGAACTAAATCAAATATAAACCGACATGCTACAAAGCACTGTTAAACACGTGAACTGAGTCAAACACAAACCATCGTACTACAGATCACTATTAAACACGTGAACTGAGTCAAACACAAATTGTCGTACTACAGGTCACTATTAAACACGTGAACTGAGCCAAACAGAGACCATCGTACTACAGGTCACTATTAAACACGTGAACTGAGTCAAACACAAAACATCGTACTACAGAGCACTGTTAAATACGTGAACTGAGTCAAACACAAACCATCGTACTACAGGTCACTATTAAACACGAGAACTGAGCCAAACACAAACCATCGTACTACAGAGCACTGTTAAACACGTGAACTAAATCAAACACAAATTGGCGTACTACAGAGCACTGTTAAACACGTGAACTGAGTGAAACACAAATTGTCGTACTACAGAGCACTGTTAATCACGTGAACTGAGTCAAACACAAATTGTAGTACGACAGAGCACTGTTAAACACGTGAACTGAGTCAAACACAAATTGTCGTACTACAGAGCACTGTTAAACACGTGAACTGAGTCAAACACAAACTGTAGTTCGACAGAGCACTGTTAAACACGGTGAACTGAGTCAAACACAAATTGCAGTACGACAGAGCACTGCTAATTGGAGGGTACTCAACTGATGAATTAGTGGAATCTAATTTCTATACGCTTTAGTTTATGGTGTGTTGATTTATGATGTTATGTGGTTTTGGTAAGTAGGTACTTGGTAATTCACTGTTTGTAGGGATTACAGACGTGTAATGTTAATTAATGCTCAAATGTTTAAATTTGATGTACGTATTGTGTAAATTTCGTATATGACTTCCTTTCGTTGTTTTTAGTTGTTTGCTGTATATATTTACTTGTTTTTTTTTAGTTCTTAATATATGTGTTTTTATCTAATTTATTTATTGTTCACAGTTGGGATGGTGCAGATCTTCGAGAAATGAACTTCGTGAATCAGTATCAAGCCCGATGTGAAAGATTTCGTTACGTCTGTATATCGATACGACGGGCCTCATCGTTATAGTTTCTCCTGAAAGCGCATTGTAGAGATTGAATAGTTAAGCCTACTTGTGTGTTGACCTTTTTCCTGTGTATGGGCCTGATTGTTTCCTGCCCTGTCCCACAGCAACTCTGACGTCCCCCTATGACACGTCGAAGGCGGGACCGAAATGGATTAACACTGTTTAACGTCGATAGTTGAACTTTTTTATTAGTGTAAACCTTGGAATTTCACCCCCAGGGAGTATCGAATAATTTCGAGAGATGGGAAATCCTGCTGTCTATGCTGAGAAATTAAATCCGGGAGAAGATGACGAAATGGTCAGTATCTTGTTTCATGTTCTGTAGATGTTTAATATCTACTGTGATGGGGTTGACTCAATATTTACGTCAAATTTAGCTAAAGCAGTGGGGTGATTTGGTACATATACAACCCAGTAGGATAACCTCGGGCTTCACTATATGTTCAAGATATTACTTTAAATCACTTCGTAGTAAATTAAGCGTGAGATATCTTAATACGACATATAGAAAACGTCATAGATGCTGTTACTTGTAACAGTTCAATATATATTTTGGTGTTTAATAATAGTATTTAGGTAATTAGTTGATTGCGGCAAAACTTCAACAATGATATTTAAGTAATTACTTGGTTAGAGCCAAACTTCAACAGTGATATTTAAGTAATTACTTGATTTCAGCCAAACTTCAACATTGATACTTAAATGATTACTTAGTTAGAGACAAACTTTAAAAATGGCATTTAATTAAGTAATTACAACACAGTTACGACAGTTGGTTTTGCCGCAATCAACTAATTACCTAAATACTATTATTAAAGTTTTGCCGTAATCAACTAATTACCTAAATACGGTTGTTAAAGTTTTGCCGCAATCAACTAATTACCTAAATACTATTATTAAAGTTTTGCCGTAATCAACTAATTACCTAAATACTATTATTAAAGTTTTGCCGCAATCAACTAATTACCTAAATACTATTATTAAAGTTTTACCGTAGTCAACTAATCACTTAAATATCATTGCTAAAGTTTTGCCGCAATCAACTAATTACCTAAATACTATTATTAAAGTTTTACCGTAGTCAACTAATCACTTAAATATCATTGCTAAAGTTTTGCCGCAATCAACTAATTACCTAAATACTATTATTAAAGTTTTACCGTAGTCAACTAATCACTTAAATATCATTGCTAAAGTTTTGCCGCAATCAACTAATCACTTAAATATCATTGTTAATGTTTTACCGTAGTCAACTAATCACTTAAATATCATTGTTAAAGTTTTGCCGCAATCAACTAATTACCTAAATACGGTTGTTAAAGTTTTACCGCAATCAACTAATTACCTAAATACGGTTGTTAAAGTTTTACCGCAATCAACTAATTACCTAAATACGGTTGTTAATGTTTTACCGCAATCAACTAATTACCTAAATACGGTGTTAAAGTTTTACCGTAGTCAACTAATCACTTAAATATCATTGTTAAAGTTTTACCGTAGTAAACTAATCACTTAAATATCACTGTTGACATTTGCTATCTACTCGAGATTGTACTCCATATATACTCAGGATGTGTACCTTAGTTACCGGTTCGTAGGATTTCACATGAAACAAACAAACACACATACATATACAAAATTCCCATACATTCCTAAATAAATCGTAATGGTTTTTCGCTGAACACGCATTTTGATATTCCGAGACAGTTTAGAGAGACAGCGAACCGGCACCTGGTATCAAAAAAGTTAAGCAACGCTAGGCTATAGCAATATAAACAAATAAATAAAAACCTTTTCAAAAAAGGCAAGAATTAACATATAGCAATATGTATATATAAATACTCAATTACAATTGAGTTTAATTTATCCTATTTTTGTCTGTTAACATTCTACTACACTCTGTACCTGTGATATTATGTAGGGATGATGTAAATGCCATCCCTACTATCTTGTTTACATTGTTATAGAAGGATTGGCATTCGCCATCCCTACATTTACTTCATTTTTGAAATGTTTTTTCTTTATTGTTTATTTTAACGTAGTGTTTCAATAGACATAGGAAGGTTGTATTTATAACCA